GCCTTCATGACTGGGGTAAAGATTGATGCGGGGGAGCTCGCTCGGACCAAGGCCACGGACTTCTCCGATCGGGTCAAGGAGATGGTGCTCTCTACTGCCAATGTAAGTAGTCTTGTGCCTTTAACTTTCTAATAGTGCAATTATGATCTGGCTTATGAACATACCTTTCTTGCAGGCTTTTGGGGATATGTACCTCACCCTAGCCAGGGCGGAGAGAGAGGTGGACTTGGCTAGACGTCATTCTGAGACAGCCAAGGCTGCTACCGCTGAAGCTCAGGCTGCCATCCGGGAGAGGAATGTGCTGCAGCTGAAGGTGGGGAGGCTGGAGCGAGAGCTAAAGGAGACAACCCGGCAGCTAGAGGCGGTGGAGGAGGCTAGGCTCGAGTCTGAGAGGAGGAGGACCGAGGAGTTGAGCGTGGTGCCGAGGCTGTGGGGGAGTATCAGGGCTCAGACAGGGTCAAGAGCCTTGTGCTGGATGCGATGGTCGAGGAGCAGTATGGGTGGGAGAAACTGGTGGCGAGGTTTAATCCAGGGTTGGATATAAACTTCGACACTAGTGGTGTTCCTCCTCCCATTCCTTCCGGTCGGGAGTCATTATTTGCAGCCACGCCATCTGCCGAGGCCACGAGTCCTTCGGAGGCTGAGATGCGGGGAGGTGCCGATGCTAGCGGAGGGGAGTCGACCGGGGATCCTGACACAGCTGCCGAGGAGGAGGCGGACGACCATGCTGATGCCTGAGGGCTTGTTTATATTTTTGTTATGATGTACCTAGTTATTTCAGACGTAGTCTTTGGACATGTATGGATATTGCCCTGCCCTAAGACAGGGTTGCTTGATTTTTATGATAGCCTGGTACCCTTTTGCTTTATGCATTCTGCCAACTTCTGAAGTGTGAATGAGTAGAAATGGGGCCCAATTGGGTGCTTCTATTAGATAGGTGCCGAAGGGCAGAAAGTACAATGGTGGAATTGAGTCAAGGCTCAAGACCGAAGTATAAGAAAACATAATGTCCTAGTGTCTAGGTATGTTTACTTGTACTAGTACTTGAGATGGTCAGCATTCCAAGGGTGAGACAACGTTTTGCCCTTGTGATCCCGAAGCTGATAAGTCCTGGGGCGGCAAACCTTGGTCATCTCATATGGACCTTCCCACGTAGGGCCCAAGGTACCCTCATTAGGATTCTTAGTGACCAAGGAAACCTTGCGCATGACCCAGTCCCCAGTTGTGAAAGCTCGGGGTTTAACTCTGGAGTTGTAGTACTTGGCAACACGCTGTTTGTACGCGACGTTGCGCATGTTGGACTGGTCACGAAGCTCGTCAATGAAGTCGAGGCTGAGGGCCAACTGCTCGTTATTGGCTTCGGCCTCGTACGTGGAGGTTCGGTATGTGGGCTGGCCAATCTCCACTGGTGCCATGGCTTCGGTACCAAAGGAAAGAGAGAATGGTGTTTCTCTCGTTGAGGTACGAAAGGTGGTGCGGTAAGCCCAAAGAACCTCTGGGAGTAGCTCCGGCCAGCAACCCTTGGCTTTGTCAAGCTTGGTCTTCAGGGTCTTCTTGATAATTTTGTTCACGGCTTCAACCTGACCATTAGACTGAGGATGGGCCGGAGAAGCGAAGAAAAGTTTAATCTTGATGTTGGAACAAAATTGCCTAAATTTTGCGTTGTCAAATTGCCGACCGTTGTCCGTGACGATGGCGTTGGGGATGCCGAAGCGGCATACGATATTTTGCCAAACGAACGTCTCAATGCGAGCAGCGGTGATGGTGGCTAGGGCCTCAGCTTCAACCCACTTAGTGAAGTAGTCGACGGCCACGACTGCGTACTTGACCTGGCCTTTGCCCTCGGGCATAGGTGCAATGAGGTCAAGTCCCCACTAGGCGAATAGCCAAGGACTGACCATGGTTGTTAAAGGTTCAGCTGGGAGTTGAGGGATATTGGCAAACCGCTGACACTTGTCGCACTTCTAGGTGAAGGCTCGGGCATCAGTGTGAAGTGAGGGCCAGAAGTATCCTTGCCTAATGGCCTTATGCACTAGTGAGCGGGCGCCTGAATGACTACCACAGATGCCTTCGTGGATTTCCCGGAGGACGTAGTGGCCTTCCTCTGGGGTCAGGCATCGAAGGTAGGATAAGCTGAATCCACGCTTGTATAGGGCGCCATTAATGATCAGATATCAGGCGGAGCGATAACGAACACGCCGTGCTTCACCAGGATCAGCGGGTAGCGTCTGGTTCTGCAAAAATTGGAGGATGGGGTCCATCCATGTTGGGCTGTGATCGATGGCGCAGATGAGTGGTGCCCGTGTGCTTGGCTGATTCAAGATTTCCATGTGGATATTTCGGCCAAGGCCCTGCTCTATGGCGGAGGCTAGTCTAGCTAGGGCATCGGCATGGCTATTCTCCGAGCGCGGTACCTGGCTTATGAAATAAGCGTTGAAGGTTGTAAGCAAATGACGGGTATGTTGGAGGTAGTCTATCATGGACACGTCCTTGGTAGTGAAGTCCTGGTTGACTTGGTGGACAACGAGCTGTGAGTCGCTGAAAATCTGAATTTGCCTAGCGCCCATCTCCTTGGCTAACCGGAGGCCAGCTAAGAGTGCTTCGTATTCGGCCTCATTGTTGGAGTCATGGAATTGGAAGCGAAGGGCGTACTCAAGGACAGCCTTGTCCGGAGAGATGAGAACAAGGCCAGCTCCGCATCCCTGGGCGTTGGAAGAGCCATCCACATACAAAGTCCATAAGGGCTGTGTCAAGTCTAGGGTGCCGTTGCTGGCGACGTGGACCTGGCTCGGGGTAGGAGTGGGCTCCATCGTAATCTGTGGACTGGCCACGGCATGGGGTTCGGTGAATTCAGATATAAAGTCAACCACGGCCTGGCCCTTCGTGGCTGGGCAGGGTTTGTAGTGGATATCAAATTCCCCAAGCTCAATGGCCCACTTGACTAGTCTCCCAGAAGTTTCCGGCTTCTGCAACACTTGTCGAAGTGGTTTATTGGTTAAGACATGAATGGTATGAGCCTGAAAGTACGGCCTGAGGCGCCGAGCCGAAACCACCAGGGCGAATGCCAATTTCTCGATGTCCGAGTACCGAACCTCGGCGTCCTGTAACGTTTTGCTGACGTAATGCACTGGGTGCTCAGCACCGTTCTTTGTCTGGATGAGCACAGAACTGGCCGCAGTAGCCGAGACGGAGAGATAGATCATGAGGATGTCTCCAAACTCAGGTGTTGACAATAAGGGGGCCCGGCTCATATACGCCTTCAGCTCGTTGAAAGCTTTGTCGCACTCAGCGGTCTAGGTAATACTCCGCTTGCTACCCTTAAGGGCCTTGAAGAAGGGGGCGCAGCGATCAGTGGCCTTGGAGACGAATCTGGTTAGGGCTGCGATACGCCCGGTAAGGCTTTGGATGTCCTTGATCGTCTTGGGTATTGCCATGTCTAATATGGCCTTGATCTTTTCTGGATTGGCCTCAATACCCCTCTGGCTGATCATGAAGCCAAGGAATTTGCCTGAAGCCACCCCAAATGCACACTTGGTGGGGTTGAGCCTCATCTTATACTGCTTCAGAATGGTGAACATGGCTGAGAGGTTGGGGATGTGCTGGTCAGTAGTGCGACTCTTGACGAGCATGTCATCAACATAAACCTTCATGGTGTTTCCAATTAGGGGAGCGAAGATGGCGTTCACCAGACGCTGATATGTGGCCCCGGCATTCTTGAGGCCGAATGGCATGACTTTGTAGCAGGAAAGGCCACGATCCGTGATGAAAGAGGTGTGGGTTTGGTCCTTAGGATGCATGAAAATCTGGTTGTACCCAGAGTAAGCATCCATGAAGCTGAGAAGGGCGTGGCCAGCTGTGGCATCAACTAACTGGTCGATGCGGGGTTAAGGGAAGCTATCCTTCGGGCAGGCCCGATTGAGGTTGGTGTAGTCTACACACATGCGCCAACCCTTTGTGCCTTTTCGAACCATCACCACATTGGCCAGCCAGGTGGGATAGTCCACCTCCTTGATAAATCCAATGCTAGTTAGCTTGTCTACCTCTGCCCTCATGGCCTCATATCGCTCTGGGTCATAAGCACGACGCTTCTGCAGAACGGGTCGAACGGCAGGATTAATGCTTAGTCGATGGGATATGATCTCAGGTGATATGCTTGGCATGTCATTGTGCGACCAGGCGAAGACCTCAGAATTAAGGCGAAGGAAGGCGACAAGATCAGAATGAAGCTCCTGTGAGAGAGAGGTACCGATCCTGACCTGCCGGTCCGGGATGTTTTCATCAAGAGTAACCAGCTCAAGGTCTTCCACAGGTTCGGCCTGTGGGGTGACAGATTCCTCCCTAGGGTCCTCTGGACGCTCGGTGCCAGCTTGAACCGGTGCTGGAGCGTAGCAGCTTCGGGCACCAAGTTGGTCCCCGCGCACCGTGCCTGTGCCATGAGGCGTAGGAAACTTGAGCAGCAGCATATGGGTGGAGATGAAGACCTTCATTTGGGCCATGGCGGGGCGGCCGAGGATGACATTGTAGGCTGTGGGGCAGTCGATAATGAGGAATGGAGTGGTGATTGTCGTCCGCTGGGGTGCCAATCCAATAGAGATTGGGAGATGAATGCTTCCAATAGGCTGGACCACCTCACCAAAGAAGCTCACTAGGGGTGTGATGCTTCGGTCGAGCAGGTGAGATGGAACCTGGAGCTCGTTGAAGGCCTCAGCAAACATCACGCTGACGGAACTGCCAGTGTCCACCAGGATACGCCCCACATCAAAGTTAGAAATGTCAGCGCGAATAATGATTGGGTCATCGTGGGGGAGGATAACACCGCGCTCTTCCTCCTCACAGAAGGTAATGGGAGCCCAGCCTGATTTGTGGGTCTTCGGCAAGCGTCCCTGCTCAGCGCTGAAGACCTGGTGCGCATAGGTGGAGCGGACATAATGTTTGATGGAGTTATTGGATGTTCCAGCCAGGGTGGGACCACCACTGATAGTTGAGATCATGTTGATCTGTCATTGGTGAGGGTTAGGAGGGGGTGGGAGATTATGCACATATTTATCCAGTTTCCCATCGCGAATAAGTCCTTCAATGATGTTGCACAAGGCAACACAAGATTCGGTGTCATGTCCACCGAACTGATGGAAGCGACAGAAGACACCCGTGTTGGGCATGGGCTTGCTGCCTGGTCTCCGAGGGGGAGGCTTAGGTATGATAGGTGCCTCATGCACCAGGACATTTTCGTAGGTGGTGTTCAGGGTGGTGAAGACCTCGAACCTAGGCTTGGGTGAGAAGGGGAGTGGAGCCCGATCACCTGCCCTGTGCGGGTTGACCCCGCTGGACTGGTGGTGGTTGTTATGTCTGCCCCGTTTGTTATGGTTGAAGGTATGTTGGTAGTTATCCTTCCGCTTGAGGTGCTGGGCACCTTGGGTACTTGGGGCAGGAGTAGAATGTTGAGGCGGGGATGACGTGGGTGCTAAAGCAGGTGGGGGATCAGTGAAAGGATGATGTGCTAGGGTGGCCGGGCCAAGCTTGGAGTTGAAATACTCAGCCTTGGCATGCACTGCTGCCTGCTTCATTAATTCAGCATATGTGTTCCAAGGGTTGCTGTGCACAAGGTACCGAAAGTTAGACTCTCGGAGGCCACTCTTGAAAGCACTAAAGGCGGCACGATCATCGGTCTCTGGGCAGCGGGAGTACTCGTGGCTGTACCTGGCTGCATACTCCCGAAGGGGCTCATCCTCACCCTGCTTAAGCATGTACAGGTCGTCCGCAGAGTATAGGCGATCAGTCTGGATCATGAAATGGTCCAGGAAAGCCTGCTTCAGACTGTCAAACGTATTGATGGTGCGGGGGCTCAGCCTGTAGAACCAATTCAGGGTCGCACAGCTGAGGGTAGATGGGAAGATGAGGCACATGCCCTCGTCCGTTAAGCCTTTGCATCCCATGGCAGACTGGAAAGAATGTATGTGGGTGAGGGGATCCTCTGTGCCAGTGTAGAAGGCGATGCGGAGGGGCTAGATTTCCTTCTCCTGGTGGTAATTAAGGATGCGTTCGGTAAAGGGCCCAGGTCGCGGCTTCGCCCAGAGGGGTTGGCGGTTGTGCTGCTGCTCATTCTCCAGACGCCTAGATAAGGGTCGGGTCCACCGAACTCCTCGGTGTGATAAGACTCGTGCTCTTCTAAGTAATCATGCCCCCAGTCATCCGAGTCCCCCATACCCTCTCCCGCAGGCACATGGGTTGGTTTTGGTGGGGGGCCTAGGCGTGTCACCATTGGGTCTTGGAGATTAACGGGGATAAGAAGGGGTCCCGTCTGACGGTCCAGGATACGGTCCCTGCAATCCCTGTAGACCTTCGTTGGTTCATGAGGCCGGTTCCTCGGCGG